ATTTATCCACCAAGGGTTACTCAGATCTGCTATCAGAACATCCATCAGGTGTTTATTTTGGGTGGGCTGGTTTATCTACTCGTGGTATATACAAAATGGTCATGAGCATTGGTTGGAACCCGTACTTCAATAACACAGAAAAGACCATAGTGAGTGTGATACATATTTAAATAGTATAACGCTATACATACTCTATGGAGTAATATATAATTGTATACACATACCTTTGTTTAGCATTTTTCATCATTTGCAATGGAGCCAAAGATTCACTATTTTTTGGCTTGAGAATACGATGGAATAAAGCAAAATGACTCACTAAACTGTCTACACTTCTTTATTGTGAAGCAACAATCAGTCCATGTAATTTTTGACGCGATTTTCACTATGGGTCATTCGGAAACAGTCTCTCCGTGCTTTAGTACAGGAGTAAGACTGCGTACATCCGACCCCCCCTCACCCTTCTGTAGGTGGGAGCCTTTGCGGCACTGGGGTAATGATGATGATACCTTTGTTTAGCAAAAGAAGAAAATTAAAAATAAAAGATGTTCTTTCAGGAGCCATGGCTGCTACATGAATTCAGTGAGGACTTCTATGGGGAAGAATTACATCTTATTATTGTCGGATATATACGACCTGAGGTAGTATATATTAAGAATTACATGACTTTATTATAGAGTATATATTGCAAATGCATTTTTAACTTTCAGATTATCTATAACAACTATAATGACATGATAGGCTAACTTTTCATCGCTTGAGAGCTTGATTGCAAAGATTCGCGAGGATGGAAGAATTGCAGAGGAGGCCCTTGAGCTTCCTCTGTACTCAAAGTACAAAGATGATCCCTTCCTGTACATTTCATGATTTATTTGTGGAAGGGGTGCAGCAGCTGGTTGGGGCCGTTATCTTAGGTAAGAGTGGTGTCAACCATGAAGTTACAGGACTACACCGTCTACACGGAGGGTGGGGTGGGGTGGGGGTGGGGGTCAAGTATGTATTCTTGTATATTTTAATTATTAAAACATAGTATTTAAATACGTAGTACTCCGTATATCTTTTTCATAATTAAGCAATCTCACCTTAAAGAAGTTCAGTCACATTTTTACCTTACTGACACGGTTCTAAATGTGTTCTTACCTAAACATGTTGATAATAGGAATCCACAGTGATTCCAAATAAAGATTAATCTTATGGATTGGTGAATAGCCAACAACTCTCATCTCATGCTTGTGCAGCACATAACTAATCTTATCAATTAGTTGTGCTAATGATCCATTTCATTTAACACAGAGTATGAAGTTCTTTATTATTTGCTTCACTTTTTCTTTGTTATCAATTATAATTGTGTCAAGAACACCAGTGGTCTAGCATACTTCAAAACTAACAGCACTTGGGTCCTACAAAATTTTGCCATATTGTACTTTTAAGCAATGATGTTAAATTTAGGACAATCATTTTAATTAGGGAAAGTGGTGAAATAGGTCACTTTATATTTATAGTCCCCCCATGTCCCAATTAATGTTCAAGGTTGTGAAAATCACCCAAAGTAATGATTTAGACCAAATTTTCAGGTAATCGGGGTGTGTGGCTACTCAATACTCATGTGACACTCTTTTTTATTTAATAAAGTCCATCTACCGTCTTCGATTTTCTTCCTCCAATCTGTATCCTATGTGAAAAATAGAAACACAAAATAAGAAATACAAGAAAAAAGAAGAATAGACGGAAGAGTCCCATCGAAAGTTAGGAGACAAGTATATAGGTACGTTTTTTTTTTTTTTGAAATAATTATATAGGTAAGTTAATCAGGAGTTTTTCGGATGTGGGTGCCACGAAAGGGGTAGTAGGTTATTCCTGAGAGAGGGGCTCAGATGGGAACATGAAGCTCTTAATCTTTGCAAGAGGGCCTTCTTCGATCCCTCTCATTGTCAGCCAAATTGTTTTAAATAGGAGTAAAAGTAGTTGAGAATTTTAAAATAAGAATACTGTGTTTGTATTCTCTAAAAAGGAATAGTTACTACGAAGCTTAGAAAATGCTACTGTACAACTTTACTCCCACTAACGGGTGTGATTATTAAAATAAGTGATTTTATGTGATTGATATTGAATCGATAAAGTAAAAATGACTTAGAACTACACTAATTTTATGACATTTGGTACGAGACATTCTTAATGAGATAGACTGATAAGAAAAGATGAGACAATGTTAGCAAAACGAAGGAAATACTATATTTATTTGAGACAAAATGGCTTATATTAAAATAATCGAATCCAACCACACAACAACGAGACCAAACACAAGAAACAAACAAGAACGATCAGAACACATTACTCGATCATACGCCATGGCCCATGGGACAAGACTCAGGCCATATCACCCACTCTGAAGCAATATGATTCACTAATCCCCACTTGAGCAACTCTGTAAGGCGAGTACTATATTGAAAAACGAGTAAGATCAAAACATGACAGTAATTACTTATATTTAGGGATTAAAAATATACTCCCTCCGGTCCCAAAAGAAATTCACTCACGGTTTATGACGATAAAGCAACTCGCTCCCTGTTCACGCTCGGATTATTTTTAGCAAATAAAATTTACATATTTAGAAACTACATTAAAACCGCTACAAAGTCTGATCAAGACAATTTAAATTTGATATATAAAATAAAACATTAAGAGTGATTTAAGTTGACTAATGAATAGTAAGTGTGAATTTCATTTAGGACCGGGGGGAGTAGTACTTCTATTTTGGAATCCTCAAACGTTTTACTCATATTTCATAAAATGTTCTTTTTATTTATTTATTAATTTTATGACCCCATACATCCATTAAGAATCATTAAAGATTTTTATTACCGGTGGACGTAGCTCAACTAGTAGCAAGGGAGTGCCACAAGGATTAGGTCCGGGTTCGAATCCCAGCAACTGCGATGAGATGTTACTATGCATTTAGGGTATGTGCAATTACCGGGGACAGAGCCCCACTCTCTATCTGTCAGACTGTGATTATAGTCCAATTTACATCCTCTCAATGTACCGTCCGGTCGGGGTTGGGAGCACGGCCCTCAGGGATGGGGTGTCATCCTTTTTTTTTATTTAAGATTTTTATTGAAATGAAAGGCTTCTATACTCTAAAAGGGGAGGGTTCAAATACAAAGAAATTTTCCCATGCAAAGTGAGAATAAATATTGTGCATTCATTTCTAGATCTAATGGTTCTAAATGAGCCAACAATGCACTAAATTTGATTAAAAACGTGGTGACAATTTCATAAATAAACCGAAGTTTTTTACCATCGCAAAAAGTGCAACAGAAACATGCAAAAATGCAACGCGGTGAGGATAAATTGCAACTGTTCGCACTTTTCATGGGAGCACCTCTTTTTAGGGGGTGTTTGGAATTGATTCTGCTTCTGCTTCTTTTTTAAAGAAGAAACAGAATCAGAATAAGTTTTCAGAAGCTGATCTCCCCAGCCTCTAAAAAAATGCTTCTAAGAGTAAATTAGAGCACCAGAAGTAGGGGTAGTTCGGTACGGTATACCGGATATTTTCTCTCATACCTTTGTCGTACCAAAACTTTCGATATGCAAAACTTATAAACCGTTACCTTACCGAAGTTTCATTATACCGCATTTCGGTATACCGAAGTTTCGGTTCGGTAACAGTACGGTATCGGTAAATTATCATGCACGTCTCCCAATGCAACAAATTAATAACGAAAATGTTACAAATACAATTAATAATATATTGATGTCATATTCAATATTGAACAATAAATATTATTAGTATATTTAAGCAGTTCAACATGCCACGTATTCAAAAATAACACATTCTCCTAAAATAACTTGAACAATATAGATATAATTAAATCAATAGTGATCTCTAACAATAATAATTTAAATTATTCAAACAACATGGATATAAAATCATTTATTCCTAATACTACCTTTGTCCCAAAATGTTTAGCCAAATCTCAAAAATTGGACCATGGTTTTGATTAGTACTCCCTCCGGTCCTTAATTAACTTTACACTTTCCTTTTTGAGCCGTCCCATATTAAACTTTACACTTCCTTATTTGCCTTATTTGACAAACAAATCTACACCAAACAGTGCAAAACAGTGCCAAACAATGTCAAATAGTGCCAAACAGTGTACACTAGAGTAAAATCAAATTTATTTCCTTAATATGTCTGAAGTCAAAGTGTAAAATTTAATAAGAACCGGAGGGAGTATAATATTATGAAAGTTATAAATTTTATACTATAAATTTTATGAAAGTACTTTTAACAAAGAACATTTTCATATAATTTTATATTATACAGAGTAAATAATTTCCGATAAATATATGTTAGTAGTCAAAGTTTTGGATTTGGCTAATCATTTGGGATGCAGGTAGTATGATATTATGCATTTAGTCATTTTTATAATTTTAAGAAAAAAATTGAATAAGACTTTCGGACAAAGTTGTGTGCCTCGACTCATGGAATCCCTATGTAAATACACTCATCACATAAGTGTATCCCTCTTCACTCATCAGCTACTCAACGACTCAACCATCGCAACTCACAAGCTCTTGGAACAAGATGGACTTGTTTTTGAACATAAATACATTACTCATTAGTCATTAGAGATTTGTAACCAACGTAAGTATTAATTTTGGGCTTCAAAATTGTAATGGACTTTTACAATATTCTAGAAATAAAGTAATTGTTGGCTAGGGAGTCGGTACGGTATTATACCGGTATACCGCGGTATTTGAAAACATTTACCGTTACCGTACCGAAATAAATCGGTACGGTATGATACCTTACCGAAAATGACGGTATACCAATATTCCGATATTTTTCGGTACGATAAGTGCGGTATACCGCTTTTCTGATATTTTTGCCCACCACTAACATGAAGTACTTCTACACTTTCACCCAAACACTCCAACTTCTGCTCCCTGAAGGAGCAGAAGCAGTTCTAAAAATCAGATCCAAACACCCCCTTATTTGCGTCCAAAGAATTTGACCTTTTCTTTTTTATTCATCACACTTTCAGTCACATTGCTTCTACATAAAGATAACACCAAATATAGAAATCAGCCTATTCCAAAGTTAATCATGTGAAACATATAAAGCATTACTGTAAGCTGTTTGTAGAAACCAGTAAACTAGTAAGATATTATTACAGTACTCTCACATGGCCTGAAAAATGTTGCTATTTGATATGCACAAGAAAAAAGACGGGACATCTTTTTATTATGAAAATAATGATGAATCTTCATTTTTGCACAAAAAAATGTATTTCACTCAAGTGTCAAGTTACATGGCAGGCGGAGGATAATTCGGCAATGGGTATCCTTCGGTCGGAGGTGTTGGTGGAGGAGGATATCCATAGCCATGTCCTGGTTGTTGGTAACTATAGCCCTGCCCAGGTGGTGGCGGGTAAACATATCCCTGCTGTTGGGGCGGGGGTGGGTAAGCGGGGGGCGGCTGTCCAGATCCTGCTGGAGGAGGGAGAGGCTGATCCATACGAGACATATGTTGAACAGGAGGAACTGCCATTGGTGCTTGTGGTCCTCCAAATTTGCCATCTCTTTTATCCATTTCAACTTTGTGCTGTGTCTGTACAATGACCATACCCCAGCAAGAAAACATTCAAACCTCTCAGTTCCCAAAGGGTTTTGGACTTGATATTAGAAGTGATGAAATCTAACTCTATCTTAACAAAATTCCTGACCATGACCAGGCATGGCCTTGTTTTCTGTCTATGGAAGAGATTATATCTGAAAAATCTTTCAGAATCATTTGTCATTTTGTCTAAGCTGCTTACTTCGAAACTGTTCTCACACCATTTCAGAAGGCAGGATTAGCTTATTATATCACTAACTTAATAAACCTAACAATTTTTTTCTCAAGCCACATTTAAAACTTACTGACACTATTTTCAGTGTCGAGTCTATTACATGACAAAATTTTGGGATTAATTTCAATGATTTTTCCATGAACCTTGAGCACATTCCTGGTTTCCAACCCCCTAGGACCGACCTTTGGGGTCTCCTACACTTATTTTAATTGACCCCACTTAGTCGTATCTATTACTATTTGATTGACCCCACCTAAACTCTACTAGGTGCAAGGCCCCAGTATGCTAACTACACAGCACCTAACTCTTCTCAGTAGGGGTGGCACTTCAGCTTTGGCTTAGGTTAAACGAAACCGAAATGCTCACCCTAACTTTTTAGAACACGCTTACAACTTGCATGTTAAAGAACTATTAGTCAATCCAAATACTTAGAAAAAGGAATTTGTTTGCTTAAAATATGTTTTCAGAAACCCCAGGCTGTGATGGAAATGGGATGGAAAACAACACTCCATTCTGTACGTGCAAAAAGTGATACAAGGTACCTGCATACAGGAGCAAACCCTGCAATGGAAAAGAAACACATAAGTAATTGAGAAGGAAGTGGCGTCTTCACAATGGACAAGCAGGAAAAAGTATGTATCAGGGGCGGGTCACTTACGAGCAGTAGACGGTATCTGATAAACAATTTAACATCTGAGATAGATTTTCAAGTTCTTGACTTCCAACAATGCAAGCTATACAGCTGCATATGCATGCCAGCTGCTGTAGGCAGAACATGAATCCCTAATACAGTATATGAGGAAGCAAGGTAAATAAATGCTTAATGAAGAAGATGCATACAACAAACATAAAAACAACATGAAAGTCGAACAAGAGCCAGTTCAGTCCCCTACCTTTTGTCTTATAAGCCCTATCAATAAGATTTTCTACCAAATACTAATGGGAAATCTCCTTGGATAGGACCAATATATTTCCACATTCCCAAAAAAAGCATCACATCATTATTATTTTTCAGGAATAGAAATTTGACATGACCATGTTATCTTTGCAACAACCTTCATGATTTTCTAATCACTGAAATTTTTGTAGAGTTCGGGTGCACCGTGCACGGTCAAAATAAGGTAATTGTACACTCATCATGTGTACAATGTGAAACTGTATCTTTGTTTGGCAATTGTGGAGTAATCGTTGAGTCAGGGTATTACAGTGATTAATCTAATGAAGAGCAAAATGTCTAAAAGACTAGCTTACTCTTTTACCAAATGATAATGTAAAAGTACTCCTAATTAAGGACATGGACAACTTAATACTCCCTCCGTTCCCATTTTATCTTCCGTTTCCCATGGGCACACAATTTAAGAAAAGTAAGTATTGTGTGGTGGAGAGTTGTGCAGAAGAGAGAGAAATGTGTAAGAAATGTTGTGAACCACAAATTCTTTACCAAAGGGGGAAAGTGGAAGTTTAATTGGAACGGATGAAAAAGGAAAGTTGGAAGATATAATAGGAACGGAGGGAGTATAATTTCTCAATACTACTCTATTTAACTGCATTAGCAGAATTTACAAATGATATAAACAAGTGCAGAAGTTGCATTGTTTTCCAAACTGGATGAAATTAAGATAAATGACACTTCACCAGTGATATTTTAAGACATTGAGTAAGAGCCTTCAGTACTTGTTTAAGACATTAATTCCTCAGATTTATTAAAAAACAATTTTAGATAATCTATTCCTATCGACTCATTCAACAATTACAACCATGGTAAAATCATACTCAACAACCTCAGCCAAATTTACTTGTACCATACTACCATATAAGACACAATTATGTGAATAGAGAGAGAGATTACAATTATGCAATTATCACACTGTGTCGTCTGTATGTTGAACTCATCTTGTAAAATGAAGCGTGTAGAGGCAACTGAATTCGCAAAGCAACAAAATACCTATTCATAGAAACAGTGCACAGATGATCATATGAATAAAGGATATCTCGGTGCAATTGATCAAAGCCACAAAATTATAGAAAGATATACCTCGGTGCAAAGACAAAGTTCAGGGCAATGACTTTCTCCACAACGGCCGCTGCAAGGCATATACCCCCCACAACATGTATATCTGTTGTTAAAGTGTTAAAAAACAATATCAGACAATGGCTTCTCTTTTTCTGGGAAAAACAAAGCAATGTATGCTTTTAAGTGAAATTCTTTAAATCTACTGTGAAAATGAGTGCTTTACCTAGACATGTCATTGTAAAGAGCTCTCTTGCGTAGAAGGTAAGAAGCACATGGAGCACTGATCATTATAAACTATTAGGTATACCATCAAGAAATCTTTGATAAAACCCCCTATTTCATTAAATAATCTAAAACTAATGTAGTCTGCTTCAGAGTTAAAAATAAAAATTCAACACATGAAAATATAAGAGCTTGTCCAAAGTGCACAACAATAGAGAATGATCTCTCTTAGCTTCGCAGATCAGAATCAACGATAGAGAATGATCTCTCTTATTTATAATTTATTTAAATAAAAACTATAGAACATAGAGCCATGAGAGAGAAAGAGAGATTCTTGTGAGCACGACACTTAGCATGTGAAGTTGTGAATGATAACTTTTGGTTCATCAATGTGCACTATTGTGTTTTGAGTGGCACACTGTTCATGGCTTAGGAAATGATTTATTAACAAAAATGCTTTGTGTTATTGATCAAAGTCTCTGCATTATTGACACTTTTTTAGCTTTTACATCTCAAACCCAATGCACACCTCACTTCTTATCTAACATGTCATTCTCATTCGGAACGACAACGCACACACATATTGCGAATAAACTCCAATCATAAGGCATCAACCAACTACAAAATTTAAATCATAACATAGCAAATGAAAAGCTGAACAATATGAGTTTACTTGTACATTACACTGATATATATGGTGAGAACAACTTCAGTGTTTTCAGATTTACTGAAAAAATACTACATCCTTAACCCCCACATTTAAAAACATACCCATATGTGTTTCTGTACAGAAGAAAAGGTTATTAAAAATGAATCTACTGTTCTTTCAATGAGGGAGAGAGTGCATTTGGTCTTCTTTTCGAATAGCCTTTTGTACACAACACAGTGCAAATTACATATTCATAATCAACAAAAGCAGTAGTCAGATATTAGTTTACAAAAAACTCACCAGCAAACAGAGAAGCAGCAATCTGCAAAATCCAAAAACCGAAAGCATTAGCTACAAAATCAATCACAATATCATACAGAGTAATTCATAGAACTTAAACTAAGCAAAATGAAATACATTTTCTAAGAGCTCGTAAATTAACTTACAGAGAGGATCTGCCAAAGTGGCATTCATGAGATCGGTGTGCCAGTGGTTGCGATAGCTCTGCCGAGCCTGCATTTTTTGCATGTACTGGTCGCTCGCCATTCTCCTCCAACAATCCGGGTCGGATCACGGTGTATAAACCTGCACTTGATTCGCTCGGAAAAAACAATATACAAGTTACAGCTAGTTGATTCAGCGTGCTTGCTTTAAACGTTTGTCGCTTATACACTTTATATTTATTAATTAATGTATGTGAGAGGGAAAATACGCGAATATATGTATATCTGTGTCTGCGCGGCGGCTGGAGACTTTTGGTTGCTGAAAGCTATGGCGATACTGTTAATATATTTGGTGACGATGGCCGCCAGTCAATCTAATGTAGAAGGAATTGAACCAATAATTAGGCAATAAAGCATGTGTTGACGTGTGTGTCATCCTTCTTCGCATTTTCCTGGCGAATCGGGATTCTTAAGGATTAAGGAACGATGAAAATCTGGCAGGCTGTCATGTCTCCATAGTACAAATGACAGATAAACATGGAGTACTCCGTGTAAGTATGGTGTCAAGTATGGGAGAGTCTCACTTTTTATCTGTCAAGTCGAGTTGGAGGATCTCAAGGATGGGTTGTCATCCTTTTTTAGAGTATTTAGTACTCCGTATATAGTAGTGCACAGAGGAGACAGAATTATGTAAAACATACTATGAACAACATATTCTTTACAAAAAAATAACAATGAAAGTTTTATTAGAACGGATGCAAAAGAAAAGCTAAAAGTTTTTCAGGGACCGAAGGAGTATTTTTTAAATAATGATGTACTAATTATACGTAGCACATTAAACGCCGGTTAAATAGAGATTGAGAAATGTCGTTTCTAATTTCTACACGCTAGTTATACGAGATGTTTTACACGTCGGTCAAATTTGTTTGTAAAAAAACATTTATTTTTGTTGATACGGAAAACAATTTTCTTCACAAAAACAAACAAAAATGTCACTCAACACCAAACATGGGTGGGTTAAATAACACATTCAATTTGATTGAATTAATTTGTAGTTCTACCTCTAAGTCTATAACCACTTATTGAATTTGTTTAGTTATTAGAATGATACTGCATGTTCAAAATATATTTTATCAATAAAATAGTTTTCTTTAACAATTTCAAGTGATTTAACTACAAAAGTAATTTTAACATTACTTGTTTTTTATCATCACACAAATTACTGTGCAAATTAAAAAGTTACGTATTCCATAACTTTTATAATATAGGTAACATTGGAGTAAATAAATTGACTCATAAGTTTAATATATAGGTTATTAAACAAGCTATAAGTTAGCAATTGTAATAAAATACTCATGTTTGTATCAGATCATGAGATACACTAGTGTAACATGTTACCTCTGAATTTTATACTTGTGACATGTTCTGCATCCATTTTGTTTATTTATTACGGAGTAATATTTACACCGTAATAAATTATTTTAAAAATATCATTTAAATAATTTTGTTACTGAAAGTTTCAAAAACTTCTTTTTAACTTATAGACGATTAATGTACTCATGGTCAAAGTCGGTCATGACAAACATGAGCAGTGAAATGTTGCACTTAAATAAAAACGATGCTAGTAGAATTTATGATTTATAGTGTTAGATAATCTTTTCGTCTTTTACAGCATAAGCTAATTACTCACTCCATTCCTAAAAAATTACAAGGTTTGACTAACATGAGAAATAATAAAGAGCATTATGTGATTTATATTTTTGTGCAGACGAGAAAAAAACAATAAGAACCACAAATTCAATGATAAAACCGGAAACTGAAAAAGTTATAGGTGACGAATGAAGTATTCTCCTCTATCCCACTAAGATTATTTTATCTTTCCTTTTCAATCCTCCCACTAAGATAGTTTCATATCAAATTTATTTTCTTAAATTTGTGTGATTTTGAATCATTTTTTTGCTTCATTATTACAATATCGACCACGTAAATTTACTTTCCTTAATAACATCACATCCTCATGTCCTGAAATTAGTGGGACTGAGAATATGTTTTAATGGGTTGCTATAAACAATTTATATTGAGGTGTGGTTGTTTTCTCCTTATTTATTCATTTATACAAACTAATATTTTTATTTTAATCAAATATGTGTACTCTTGGCTAAAATGTAATCATTGCAAAACTACTCAGACCAATGGACCGGCTGTTCACACGACCCAAACCGGAATAAGTTTTTTCCCATTTTATTTTGAAAACAATATTAATACTCAGATTAAACAAGTGTTTGTGATCACTGCTTCTACAAAAAAAAAAATTTTATAGTGATTTTAGAGAAAACAGTTAACAGTAAAAGTTAGCGTTTGAAAAAACATACTTTTTTGATATAATAAAAAATGAAAACCGGTTTAAAGCATTCTCATTAGTTTTTTTTGAAAGGAAACTCAATGCTTATATTAAAATCCAAGAACCAACGACATTACAAATTTTTCAATACTGAACAGCTTCCTGCTATCAAACTCACAATAACTCGAATGTCTCCTCACCCTCTGATTAGACATAGAAACGACTACCTTAACTAGAGCGGATCGAGTCGCTAACCATCTAAAAGATTTGAAGATTATATCGGCTTTTGAAGCCATCTTATTTCTTAGCAAAAAAATACATACTCACCTCATAAGCACAACACACCTAAGCAACTAAGGGTCCAAAATAAAAAACAAACTTGAAGATAACAATATTAAAATGCAAACAAAACAAGTCTGTCACTGCTTGCCAAACTCCATTATTCTTGATCACTTCTAACCGAGGCCTTCCACAAACAGCCAAAAGCCCCAACTTGTGCATTCCATGACGGTGGTTCACGAGGAGGCCACACCATTAGGACCACTATGATTGCTACTTCAACACCGTTCGAACACGATTTTTCCGAAGCGATGGTCTAATCAAGCACTAGAATCCCATCCGCTGCACCCGAAACCGTGAATTTCGCCAACACAGTCGCATCTTCTTCATCTGAGCTAGCTGCTCCACCTCGAAGTGTTTCTGATTCACCGCCATCATCTGCGCTCAACGATCCGGATGAATTCAATCGAATCGTCGCATCACGAAGCCCGCCCCCTCCCTCAGCTGTGCGCAACTTGGACCAAAATCAAAGAGCCTTCTCGTGCACTCGAGGCTGTCAAAAACCAGTCCCAATGGAGCCGTGATGAAGATGCCACTCGATCCGTCCGTCAGTTAAGCCGCGCCGTCCATTCCCTCTTCTACCGAATCTATTCAACTTGCCGATTAAGCATAGGCCCGTCCGCTCCCTCTTCTACGATTAATTACAATTCAAAAACTAAAACATCCTCATTAGTTTTTTAAGAAGGGGGCTTATATTGATATCACAACATTCAGATAGGGATTAAAACAACAAAAGAACCACATGTAACCATTAGTCCTTAAACGAGACTCAGAGTTAATCACCTTTGACAAAACAATATAACTCGTTGATCCTAACTTGGGCACAATTAAGCCAAAGACGGTTAACGCAGACCTCTCATCACCCAAACCTAATGAAAAAGTCTTACATCACAAAATGAAATAAAAATAAAGAACAACAGTCTTAATGTGGAATTTAAAATGCAAAGCGGGAAAAAAGATAAATACCATGACTTGTCCTCTTGTGCAGGATCACCAATCGCACGTTCAACGGGTTTAAAAGCACTGACCCACCGCCTCTTCGTTTTTTGGTTTGCCTACAGACATACTCTCGTCAGATGGATCATCTTTTGATTGCTCTTCCCAAATCCTTATGCGTTTTTTATCCCATGGCACCTCCTAAGTATTGCCTATGTCTCCTTCTTTGGTCACACTATTACGTGTACCCGTTGTGGACTCATGCCAACGTTGTCCCCCTGTCCCTTCACCATCTTGATCTGCTTTCCCTTGTTGTCTGGCAACCCTTAAGCTTGAGGAATTTTACACTAATCACTTATTACATCCTATTGAACTAGTCTTCCCCTCTCTATCAGCTCAAAGTTCTACCTCAAAAGTTTTTTCCAACACTATGCCGCTCCCTCATATTTTAAGGGACATAATTTATCAGAATGTCCAATCACCCCACAAGTATAGCAAAAATTAGGGAGTTTTTCATATTTGAAATCTACCTGATGGCAAATGCCTCCTTTCTTGAGGGTAGATCCCTTTTTCAGAGGCTTCCCAACATCCATACTCACCCTAAGTCTCATATATGATTCCCATATTTATTCAAAACTAATAAACTTGCCAATATAGTTTCCAATCCTCCCAGCAGTTCATAAATTCATGAAACTATATGGTACACTATGAACCTGTACCCAGAACTCTGCCTCACACAATTTCATTTTATGGAGTATATCATCTGGCCTAACTTCCTTAAGGAGCAGTAAATTTATTTCAACAACCAAGGGCCATCATCAAGAACATGATTCATATCCACAATATGGTAAAAAGTAAATAGATACTCCTCCCGTCTCGCTAACAATGAGACAAGAGGGAGTGACACGCAAATTAATAAAAAGTGATTTATGTGGTTGATATTGAATTGATAAAGTAAGAATAAAGTAAGAATGATTTAGAGCCACACAAACTTTACCAAATTTGGTATGAGGCAATCTTAGTGGGACGGACCGATAAGGTAAAACGAGACAATCATAGCGGGACGGAGGTAGTACTTTTTATCGTTTGTCTCTCTAATGGGTACCCGTTTACTAGGACGCCAAATAGAAGCCAAAAGATCTTTGAAGACTTGAAACTTGATTTTCCTGTCCGTGAGAACGACTCCTACCATTGGGAATTCAGCTCTCTTCTCGCGTGCAGCAAACTCCTTGTAGTCATCTTCTTGTAGTGATTCACAATATCATCCATCCAAATCCTTTGAACTGCGTCACTCTCTCTACCTCCTTACCGAACCAAAGCCGCCTAACTGGTTAAGCAACCCCCGAAAACCAGCCCACCCGATCTTCTAAGAGCAAAACGCCGGCCGTACTTCGACTATATCGAATACGGAAGAAACGACTCTAGCGGTTGAAACCCTACAGAGATACTCTCCCTTTTACTAATAAAGCATCCTCATTAGTTATAATACCCTTTTCAATTTTTTTGATCGGAAAGTTTTTTTTTTTAACTTTTTACAAATGTTCCCTATTTTTTTACCTATTGTCTATACTCCAAAAAGAAAGTAGAGAATAAGAAGAAGGCACTAGGCAGTATATATTTTTTTTTAAATGAAGAACATATGAAGCATTATAATCTTGGGCGAATAAAAAAGGAAAGCAGGCTACTAGTGAAATATTGCTGTACTTCACCGAAAGGAGGAAAATTTTAGGATTGATTGAGAACCAATGTCCAAAAACCTCACTCCCCGTCATTCTGATCCGAATACCCGTCTTTCACTATTATTCACTCTGTACTATGTTGTTTGCCGAGGCTGTTTTTCGTACGGACAAGTAAACGGTGGCAGTGTCACTCTTTCCAGCTTCAAATACGTTACAACTGCGCTAAAACCTTATGATTGGCGCTATATTAGAGGTGCATGATTTTCCACATGTTTTTAGCTGGGGTGATTTGGGATTTCTTGTTTGTTTGTAATTGGTGATAAATAAACATAATACTATGTATATACAAGATTGTCTTTTGTTCTTTGGGTTGTTTCTTCATGTTAAGAACGCAGTGACGTTTCAAACTATTGTTTTTAGCTCTGCTTGGTAGCCATGACCTGCTTACTATGCTTTTCTGCAGACTAAGTAGCTTTGACTTGCTTTTTTGGATGAAACAGATGTTACAGAACCGTTTTCCTTTCAGAAAATTTACCAGATTTAACAATTATCTCAGCCAAAGAGAATTTACCAGATTTATTAAGTTTTACTATTTGTTCAAACTCTTTTTATTGAGAGAACTATCAAATAAGCTTCGAACTTTCATAAAAAGTGCAAATAAACCCTTTATAGGAGGCTCTATCCGGCCGTCGTCATTTGGGGCGGCTTCCGGTGGAATTTTTTTATGAATTTTTTTGACCATCTTCTCTAGTTTACTCATTTCAAATTTCAGCTAAACATTCAATCGGGAAGGCAGTCAAATGAAATTTTGAAGATAACTGCGCAGTTAGGCGGTGCATTATAATTATATTTCAGAAAATTATTTGACTGCCTTCTCGATTGAATTTTTAGCTGAAATTTGGTATGGATAAATTAGACTTAATGAAGAAGATGTTCAAAAAAATCTACCAGAAACCGCCCCAAATGGCAACAACCGGGTAAAGCCTCTTGTAAAAGGGTTTATTTGCACTTTTTATGAAAGTTTGAGGGCTTATTTGATAGTTCTCCCATTTTTATTTAAACATTTCTACTATATAAGAATATTAAATTTAAAAATATTTAAAGTGTCAATCTTTTCAATCAGATTTGATTTTTATATGTATATTCCATGGCATTTTTTCCATTCACCCTCTATTGTTCTAGTCCCAAACAGCCATAAAGGTATCATAACATAAGAAAGAAGGAACAAACTGGTGGCAAGTGGAAATTTGTTGTGAATGTGCTTAAGGCCCTAAGCCGTATAGTGCAGGAGCGCTCACATTTTTTTGGCTTACTCTTTCACTTTCATCTTCAAATCCATCTCTTGGATTAGGAAAAAGTGATAATCAAAAGTTTTCTTTGAATGCTATTCACATATATGAAGCATAGGCTATAACTGCTTTTATAAACATTGGTGAAGTTGTGTTAATAGGTTGAATATAGGTCTCATTTCTATTTATTTGTATGTTTCAGTGGATTTGCCATCATGGTTCTCTTCCGTGAACATAATTCTAGAATCAGATGTTGATATTGTAAGTACCTTTGCTCAATCTCTTAAACCCGTTTTACCCCATTATATATTTATTAATGTTTTCAGGACCTCCAGAGGATTATAAAATCACCTCAAAGTTTATTCCCAATTATATGCTTCCGAGAAGGAAGCCCCCCTCTGCCCGATGTCTACAATGTTTCTGCTTCAGGACTAGGTAAGAGAAGACCAGCATTTTGTGAATTTAAGTGTAGCTTCTTTGACCATATAGAGAGCTCAATTAATTGACTGGATTTACTTTACGTTTTCCATTCTTGTGAATGTAGTTCTGTGATGCATGAGATTCTGTGAAGTATTCTTTTATTTTATTTCTTTTTCTTTTTCTCATTCGGTGCACACTCATTTCCTGATGCATAGACTCTAAGGGTATGTTTAGATAAGAGAAAATGTTAGTGAAGGGGTAAAAAATGGGGAAAGATATCAAGGGAGTTAGTTTCTCATGTTTGGTCTTGCATTACAAACATAGAAAATGAAATTTGAATTCAATTTTTTTTCCTGTACATTTTTTTAGATTTTAGTCTATATATAATAGACATTAACTAATAAAATGAGCTATGAGCGTGAACATCCATCTAAAATAAATTCATGGACTATAACCTATCTTTTATCTTCTCCCGCATTTTCTTTACTTTCTAATTTTCCTCTAGGTTGTTATTTCTACCCCCCTAGTATTTTCTGGGGTTCAAGTGGACCCTAAGGGTATGTTTGGATCACAGAAAATGTTAGGGAATGAAAAAAAATGTTGCAGGAAAGTTATTCCCTTACTCCATTGTAGGTGGGAGCCTTTGTGGCACTGGGGTAATGTTGTTGTAAATTTGTAATGTTGTTGTAGTCTTTATATGATAAATAAATCCTAGTTCGAACAAATATTTTAGATAGATTTATTGAGGTTTGCCTTATCTTATATTTTTCCTCAAGTTTTCTTTCTTTCCAATTTTATTCCCTGTTTTTCCCCTACTATTTTCCGTGTCCCAAACAGACCTGTTAAATCCTTGAAGTGGTAAATAGTATTTTTATTCAGGCAATCCTTTTTGAACCACTTCAACATATAATTATACTGCAATTCTTCTTCAGTGTTAAACTTCGCCTCTAATCGGTCGTTTGTACAAGATCTCGAACTAGTTGAGAAGTGCTATCCTATACAGAAGACTATATCTTTTAAATTAACAAATGAACAGGTTGGTTTCAAATTTTATGCACCATTATCATGTAATAAACAGTGTTTTTGTCTTTAGCAATTTAAATGAAATTGATGGAAAATTACTCAACAGATATCTTCAGGTCTATGGTATATAGGCCTCTTTTATGGCATCGGACCTATGCGGACGCAGTCAAAAATGGTAATTTGTTTTCTCAATATAAACTATTCATAGCACAAATTCCAAGAACAGATAGAAATTATATTCAGGAAAGCTTAAGCATTTGACTTTCATTTTTTACTCATCATGGCTACAGATTAATCGAGGCTCAGCATATTCTTTCAGTGGGAACATAACCGTGGAAGGCTGCACAACTCAAACCGTGTCTGGCCCATTCTGCAATCAATCTGTTACTCCAATTTCATGCATGGATGTTTATACCCCTCCTGCAATCGGTTTAAAAGATAATTTGGCGGGAAATGTGATATCTTGCAATGGTGTTGATGAAGAGAGGTGTTATGGGTATTTGGAGTCCAGTGCCTACTACTCATTTGATGTTTTGGGTATCACGGAAAGGGTGATTGTTAGGGCATTAAATGTTAAATCCAAACAGTCACAGTTTGCAAATAGCACCAGAAAGGACAATCATATACCTGTTATGGTTTATCTTAGGTATAGGGCGTTGCCATCAACAACTTTGCATGACTACTCTGGTGATATAACTGATGGCCCTTTGGTAATTCTCTCACCCAAAATTGGACGTTGGTATATTACTGCTCAACCAATAGTTCAGGATGCGAATGCAAGCACTTGTTTTTCATTGAGATCAGAAATATTTCAGTGTCCAGTGAATAAGGCTGGACTGAACTGTACCTGGGAAAGGTACATGCTTCAGGTTGAGTTATAATCTTTAATTCATACTCCACATTTTCCCATATCTTTCATAGTTTAGAATCTTGGCATAAATATGGCTTTTCATCCCTGCACATATACACCGTTTTCTTTTTAGTCCGTACCCGTTACCGCAATTTTAAAGGAAACTGATACAACTCGGAAAACCCCAGGGTTTTCCACATTTTATTAAATGCTTAACATTTTAATTCAAAAGAGCCAAAGATAACTTAAATTGAAAGCGGGAATGGTATCGTTTTATTCAGCATGGCTTCCCTAATAGTCCTAAATGAGCTATAAAAAGTTGGAATGGCGTGGAAATGAAATACTCCCTCTGTCCCAGTCTCCCAGAATTTCTTCATACTTTCTTTTTTGGGATGCCTCAAAGTTTTCTTCCAATATCCTTCTATGGAATGGTTTGTATAGTTAACACCCACCTTTCTACATAAGCCACAATCATACATTTCCACTTCATTAATAAGTGTGCCTAGTCAAAGTGGGGATTGTTCGGGACCGATAGTATTAAGCAATTCAAGGAAATGACATAAGAATGCGAGGATGGAGTTTTGTGAGCAATGCAAGTTTTTTAATAAACTAATAGGGGCTAAAAAGAAAACAATTAAACAACGTTGATTATAAGGAATAAAACCACGGCACAGGCAAGGGGTTTTCCCTAAATTATCACTAAAATAGAACGTATGGACGAAAATATGACTACATGATCGCTATGAGATTCCCAGCGTGGTCATCAATAGTGTAAAATTGAACAACAGCTTCGTCACTGACTCACAGCAGAAATTCAACAATGCTCACTACTTATTAGAACTCACATTTTTATCCATTATTTTATTTTGTCATGTACTCGGTACTTGTCATTATATCCTAAACATAATAACACAATATTTGCAAGGATGACAACCACATTTATGCTGATAATCTTTTATTGAGTTTTTATGAAACTTGGCAGGCACATATATGTAAGGTATAACTAACATGCTTAAAATGCTTATTTGCAGACGGTTTTGCGGAAAAATCCAACTGTGCCATTTGAGTCGCATTATCTACCAATCAGTGAAAAAGTATCATCCAATTCTGCCAATTTCCCTTTGGAACCTCTATTGACCAACACCTCCAGTGGGGGAAACCATGGTTATGTTTGGACCTTTTTCCTAGTGGACATCCCCTCTGATGCCTCCGGAGGAAATATTCACATTTGTCTCACATCAGACTCAACTGTTGGGTATGAAGTATATGCCAAACATGGTGGCCTGCCTTCTCTCGAAAGCTGGGATTACTTCTACACAAACAGAACGAGTAACAGCAATGGCTCCATGTTTTTTAAAATATATGATGCAAGTAAAAGTAGGGTTAGTTTTTACATCTTATATGTAAAAGGAGGGACTTGGAGTTTCGGGTTGAGACATCCAAACACAAATTACCTTAGTTCGGTTCATCAAACTTTCATGTCAATCTCACTGGAGAGATGCCCTGAAAAGTGTTCTTCTCATGGAACATGCCAATCTCTTGTGGACGAGAGTGGGCTAACATTGTACAGGTTTTAAATAATCTCACCTAAATCTTAAAACATTATTCATTCAGGGCCTGTTTGGCAAGTCTATTTGGCTGAAATGGCTGAATTTGTTGTTTCTATAGAAAGCAAAAGTATTTTAACATGTGGTAGTTTCAGCCAAAATAAGTCAAAACTCAAAAGCTACTTATTCTGTTGATAAGCAGAATAAGTCACATTTGGCTACCACGTGAAGCCTTAATTATCTTGAATGTTTATAAGTTCTTATGCTGCTATAGTCTATATGTTTCAGTTACTGTGCTTGTGACCGCAATCATGGAGGCTTTGACTGTAGTGTTGAACTTGTCTCCCTTGTAGGTGTGTCTCTATTTTTCCATAGCAGATTAGTTTTTGTTAGCTCTTTGTTTGTTTTATGTGTGGTGGCTGGCATTTTTTGGAGAGATTATTTTTCATTCAGAGAAAGTAGTGGTATATCTTGAAATTCATTACCACCAACCATATTTTTTTTCATAATTTAAAAATAAAAACACAGCTGCTCCCCTCCAAAAACCCCTCACTAACATACCCTTGAGATATGAAGAAGAAGGGAGGGGAAATTTTTAGGAGGTATTGTTTTAACTTGTTGATTTTCCTAAATAATATACTACGTATATAAAATGATGATTTTCAGAAACTCAATGTCATAGTCTTTAATTTATTACTCCGTACTATAAATCACATGTAATTTACATAGTTTTGTAAAAAATAACCCCCTTCATCAGGAGCACATCTTTAGTATGCAATGGGTTGGTTTACTTGGGGAAAAAACTATGGGGCATTTGGCCTCACTATTTCATCTAAATTTGACTTGGCACCCCTTTTTCAAATCATTAATATTTACACCCCAAAAGTTAATGACATTGGAAATGTAGTATCATACTTGTTAGTCTCCTTGTCTTCTGCAATAGCTTCCTTATCATGTAAGACATTACTTCTTTGTTTGCATGCATTTTCACATTTTGATGTGTTTAAATTCATCGTTTTTTCTTTGCATATAGGGACATAGGATTCCTTTGTATCCTTAATATGCTTCCTTCCCTAATTTGTATTTAGCCTTACACTCTAAAACGGGTCTTATAAAGGTAACATGCTGAAACATGTAGGACATGTTTGGCAATCAGTTTCTCTTATTGCGTCAAATGCTGCAGCTTTGCTACCTGCTTATTGGTCTCTCCGTCATAAGGTGATATCGGCTAACCCAGTTAGCAACTTAAGATTCTTTACCATTCTTTATTTTGATGATCTTAATTTTTATTTGGTTTTTGGCCTTTCTTTTCTTTTCAGGCATTTGCTGAATGGGTTCTTTTCACATCAAGTGGAATTTCAAGTGGTTTGTATCATGCATGTGATGTGGGCACGTGGTGCGCATTAACTTTTCATGTGTTACAGGTAATCACATAACTATAAGAACTTTGCTGCATTTTTTTCTTTCCCCCCAGGTAAAACCATAATACAAAATCAGTTTGATGTTTTTTTTTGCATCTATACTCGTAACACATGTTTCCTTTGCAAAATGGAATGCCACCTCTACTTTTACGTGAAAGAGGGGTTCACTAAATTTATAATATTTTTGTGCACATCTTCATTTATATTTTTGCGGTTTAAATACATCTCATATGTATTAGAGGATATGAATGATACATAAGCATATAGTGGACACCATATTCACAAATCACAATGAGTGTAAATGTTACAATCCCTTTAGTACGGAGATACATGAATGCCAGTAAGTGCTGAGACATTATAATTGATAAATAAAAAGTGGTTAGTCTTTCAAGCTGACTGTAAAAAAAGAAAACAAAGAAAGGTTCAACCACCAATTTTACATAATTCTTTTAAAATAAAGGGGGATTGGATTTATGTACATAATTTTACATAGTTGTATTTGGGTGAAAATATTATTATATATAAATTGAGGTGCGAAGAGTGGGGTGCAAACTCCAATTCCCTCTGAAATAGACCCCCAAGATGGAAGAATTCAATGAATTGTGTACTAATGTATGAAGTGATGTGTGCTCCCAGTTCTTGGATTTCTGGCTTTCATTCATGGCTGTTGTCAGCACTTTTGTTTACTTGACTACTATAAGTGAAATCTCAAAGAGGACAATACACACCGTCGTCGCAATCCTTACTGCCCTTATGGCTGAAACTGGGCCAACCAGGTTTCTTGTTTGATTTTTTTTGTTTTTTTAATTCTTGAACCAGTGTGGTTGGGTTTCTAACCCCGTTGATTCTCCTTTCAGGTCCTCAAACATTATAATCGTGGTGGCCATAGGGGCTGCAGGTCTTCTAATCGGGTTCTTGATCGAGTTATCTACCCATCACAAGATGCTTTCTTTTTCCTTTTCAACACAAGTCTGCTTGAATCTGATTCAGAGGTATTAAATCATCCATCAAGCTGGCCTTGACGTGTTTCTTTATGAAAATTTGTAGTCATATCAAACAAATACCTTAAAAATACAAACTAACATATAGGGTATTAAAATGATTAGGTTGGCCTCTTAGATGTCACCCCAAGTCTTAATTGACGGAAGGCTTGCCCAAATAGGGAGAAGACTAGGCCAGCCTTGGATACATCGGAAAATAGTCATGTGGCTAGGTCGAAAATTGAGTATTTTTTCTACATAATTTTTTTACCTGTACCAAACTTAGATATATTGTTTGCAGGTGGAAAGGCCTAAAAACATGGGTTCGTAATCTCATCAAGACACTCTTGAAGCGATTTCGCTGGGGCTTTTTACTTGCTGGCTTTACTGCATTGGCAATGGCTGCGATAAGCTGGAAGCTTGAAACCAGTGAAAGCTACTGGATTTGGCACAGGTCAGATATAACAAACACAATATAGCTAGTGAAATGGTTTTCAGATTTGGGTCTGCTACAGAATTTACTAAAGTACCCTTTAAGTGAAAAAAGTAAAGTGCTATGATAAGGGTATTTTGGTCAAGTTCTTGGATTAAAACACAGAAAAAATTCTTAAATAGGACTAAGTATGTTTTCTTCCCAAAATATGACTTATTTACTCCTATTAAAAGAATAAAACAATAAAAACTTTCCAAAATAGGATTGAATGAGTCCTATTTAGGGAAGGAAACAATGACACTCCTATTTGAGAAATTAGGAGTTTGTTTCACTCCAATTTAGAGAATTTTCTCAATCCAATAAACCCTTTCACGGCATGCAGTTTTTTTCATTAAATTAAATGATATGCTACACCATTCCCACCCACCCCAGTATAGGGATGGACCTAGTCGCGGTTCTGAACCGATTGTTTTATTGTCCTGGTAAGGAGTCATGTACTCATGTTCATACTTCAAAACTGAACTGGTATTGTGTGGCTGTCCAAACCGCTCTGGCTCCGATTCCTCCAAAATAGGGCCGGACCGACCTACTCAAGTACCGTTTTTTAATTATTTTATATAGAGTAAGAAACCAGGTAACAACCGAACAGTTCTACCTGGCCTAGAACTGGACAGTATTACCGTTCCAGTTCCGCTTCCTGCCTTAAGAGGAACCGGCCGGCCCGTAATTGGAATCTAGCCAGGTCCACCCATATCTTGGTCATCTTTCACTCTCATAATTCATTTTTTATAATATTGGCTGCAGTTTGTGGCATGTGTCCATATACACATCTTCTTTCTTTTTCCTCTGTTCAAAAGCGGATGGTCCAACTCCAAACTGCGAGAATGAACGGCCTAGAGATGGGAACTATGAGTTAACTCGGCAAAATTCTTTCATACTGGAAGAGCAAAGAGACGTCAGATAGGACTCTACATCATACCTCATCAGATGCAGCATGGGTTCTCTCTCAAGTGAAGGAGATTGTTGTAAATTTCAGCCACCTTTCTCCCTCAATTTTTTTATAGGAAAAACAGAAATTTGTAAATGTGAAAATACAAACAGTAAAGAATACCATGAGGGAGGTGTACTATGAGAAATACACAAAGAACAAAATATCTGTGGAAACAAAATAAAGAGTAGTAATTAGTTTGTTTGCATTTGGAATGCTTCAATTCACACCCTACATGTGTGCAAGTCACGAATGAGGACTGAATATTATTGGCAGGGCCGGTTCCAAGAAATGAAGGCCCTGTGAAACAAAAATAATTGCACCTTCTTTTCAATGTTTCAACACAAGTTTAAAAAAACTGAACCGAAACCGCACCGACTCAAACGGGACTCGAAAGTCGGGACTCGAACATAAATCAGTTTAATGAAGGTTTTTTGAGTTATAAAATCGGTTCAAACCAAACCAAACCGATTTTTATTAAAAGGTATGTTTAATTATTTATTTTGTAGAACAAATAGGTAATATAAAGCTTGTACGTGATTGATGTTTAGAAATCAGCGTGCATGCTTTTATTTTCACCTGGGTTCGAATCTCGCATGCTTCGCTTCTTTTCTTTTTTGTTTCAAAAGCTTAAGATTCCCACACCGGTGGAAACGGAGGATTTACTACTCCTTCGTTCCTATATATACACTCCTCCTTTGACGATGAGGAAAACGCGAAGTGGCGAACCAGGCCTGCTTCAAAGCCATGCCCTAGTCCAATTTTTTTTGTAATTCATTTGGTTTTATATCATAACCGAACCGAAACCACCTCTAAGTAATACTAGTATACTACTACTACAAAAAAAAATTGGGCCCTTCCAATTTTTTGAGCCCTGTGCAGTTGGACACCCTGCACACAGCCAGGGCCGGCCCTGATTATTGGGTCTCTTGTTATTAAAGCTAAATTCATTTGGATTCTTTCCCTTTGAACATGTCCGAATTTTAGACTACTTTTTGTCTATCCGTCATGTTTTTGGATGGTTGATGACATGTTATTAAAAGTATAATAATTGTCTTCATCCTTGTCCTTTGTCGCATTTTGTGACTTTTCTCATTTTAGTTTGCTCCAAAATATTTATCTTAAGTTATTTCACAATATTTATTTGGTCTAGTCTTCATCCGTGTTACCGTGTATCACTTTTCTTTGCACAAAACACAATTGTAGGGGTGCAAACGAGCTGATCCCAGCCCAAGTTTATGTAGGCTCGAGCTCGGCTCAAACGAGCTTAAAAAATCCGGGCTCGAGCTCGACTCGCAGTTCGACTCGTCTCGATTCAGTTCGACTCGGCTCGATAATTTTGATTCGTCAACTCAAATATTACAACTTCGATTAGCTCGAAAGTTCAGGTTCGAACTCGAGCTCAAGTATGAAATAATCTTTGAATATTTGTGTTTAGTATTTGCAAATTGAAATTTACCTGCCCAACAACTAAAAATAGAGTAAATGGTGTCCGAAATAAATAAAAATGATCAAACCATGATGATTTAACTGAAACTAGAGTTACGGGAACGGAAAATATAATATCTAGCCGATCCTTATATACATTTACCAATCAGTATTATATATATATTAATTTATATTATATATATTATATATACTAATATATATTATATATTAAAATTTCAAAATCTAAATTTTTTAATTCTTTACTAATAAGGAAAGAAAGATAATAATGGTCAAATTTGTGCATTGTCAAGCGTGAAAGGTAACCTTTCACGCTTGACAATGCACAAATTTGACCATTATTATCTTTCTTTCCTTATTAGTAAAGAATTAAAAAATTCAGATTTTGAAATTTTAAAATGAGAAGAATTTAAAATTATTTTTTAAAAATTTTATTTATAATACATTAATAAATAAAATATAGTCAAAGTAGAACATGTGAATAGTGCAAAAGTGCAATGTTGCAATTAAAAGAGAGCGGGGGTAGTATAAAACTAGGCTCGCGAGCCGGCTCGAGAGCTAGCGAGCCTAAAATTAGTAGGCTCGTTTATGACTCTACTGCTTAACGAGCCGGCTCGAGCTCGAGTTTGACCGAACTCGATTCGAGCTTTGACCGAGCAGCTCACGAGCGATAGTCTAGTCTAACCGCCTTGCGTGCAGGCCTACAAAAAACGAGAAAGAGGCGAGTTGCAACTTCGTGGCTCGCCAAACACAGGAACAAAATCCTATCCAAACACGACACGAGGGGCGTGGAGGAATGGGAGATTTCAAGGCAAATTACTTTTATTGCTTTTGTTTGATTTTCTTTAAAAACTTTTGCTATGTTATTTTTGTGGACAATAGCGGTAGGTGTTTTAGTTTCGGGACTACTTTCCGAGCTGGTTTTTTAGGTAGAAGCGATAAGGCTTGTGTGGGTTGTAAAAGCTTCGAAATTCTCACACCATTAGCGATTAGTCTAGATCATAACTGGATGGTCTATTTTGGGTTCAATCAGAGAAATGTGTTTGACTATGCAGAGTCTCATAGGGAGGCTTGATTTATTGTGGTTATTGAGACGTTTGATTCTTTGATATTCATAATATAAGTTATTTCCTTTCATAAAAATCTTACGAAATTCAAAATGAAAAAGTAAAGTTATTTATGAACTAAAAAAGCCATAGTAGTTTGAATTTAACGTCTACTCCTTCTGTCCCGAAAAAGTTCGTCAAATTGATTTTTCTTGATCAACAATGACAAACTTTAGATAATGATTTTAATTATTATATTGATATATAATATATAATTTTTATACTCTTAAGAAAATATTTTGAATAAGGAACATTTTGATATAATTTTTATATTCAAAATAATTTTGTATTAAAAAAATATTATTGGTCAATACATAATATTAAAAATATATTATGAAACAATACATAAAAGAACAGCCGACTTGATAGGCAGAGTTACTCTTACCTCGTTTTCTTATTCTTCTCGTTTAGTTTGATATTAGTACACTACTTGTGCATACGCACGGGAAAGAGCAGTTGATACATACGGAGTATATTTTTATTCATGATCTAATTAAATCTTTAAATAAAAATAACTTTTTAGGATTTTATTTTTTCGAAAAATCAGAGTACAATAAGCTAATTCCCTAAAGTATAAGCTCATACAATAAATATTAAACGAAGAGTATATTAAGGAAAATTTATTGATACCACTCATTAGAATTTGTTGCATGCTTATAAATTTTCATGATTAAATTAATTTTAAAATTAGATACTATTTTTAAAAGGTGAATACAATAAGTGAGTGACACGAAGTTTAAGTGAATACAATAAATATTAATATCGACAAATATTAGTTAAATAAGAATTTCCTAGTCATTAGTTAAATTAGTGTTAATATATGAGAGAGAAAATTATTTTGCTCAATTGTTTATCGGCTTATCTTATACGTAAAGAACTACAAATTAGAGAAAATTCTTTCGTTCAATTGTTAGCTAAATTGTCTTCTTTTTTCCTAAAAGCACTGCGTATAAGAGAGAATTGTTTTTGTTCAATTGTTAACAAGTTTATCTTATATCTTCTGTACTACCTAAAAGCACTACATATGAGAGTGGAAATTCTCTTGTTCAATTATTAGCAAGATTATCTTCTTTATTTTTTTTTTAGATAAAATGTAAATATATATATCCAGAAAAAATAACATAGTACAATGCATCTGTTGGAGAATATTATCCCGGCCCACTACTGTTCAGAGGCCCAAGTCATCACCCGGTATGAAGCCCGGTCAGCAAGGCCCATTTAGGCCTACCCGGCTCGTTTCGGCCTAACCGGCCCGAATACGAATTGTTTAGGCCCAATAAGGCCTTTTCGGCCCATTAGTGTGGGAGGGCTTTTCCCTCCTTCCTATAAATAGGAGGAGGGCTTTTCTTTAAAGATGGATCTTTTTCCTCTTCTCTCCTGGACAATGTTTCCTCCCCATCCCCTTTAGATTAGTTTATTTTCAAGCTCCATCAATGGAAGCTCCAAGGTATTTGTATTATGTAATTGGTGAGGAGAGCAGAATAATGAGAAAGAGCGGGCTTGGACGTTAGCCTAAAAAGTCCTGTGGTTTTTCTCCCTTTCCGGGTTTCCACGTAAAAATAGCTAGTTTATACACCTTTTAGATATTTATTCATTTTTATACCGAATCCATGATCCCTAATATCCGAAGTTATGTTGGGCTTTCGGATCTACGAAACCAAAACTCAACATTGGCGTCGTCTGTGGGAAACGTTCAAAAAACTACGTGTGTTCTTGGCATTTCTACCAAAATTCATAGAAGATGGACTGATTTTTAGAGAAGCAAGAATGGTTTGTGTTCATGTTCTACAAAAAATTTACATCAAAGATGAATTGATATCTAGCTGTGGAATGAGAGTTTCAGTTCTGCTCCAGCCCAGCTAATTCACTGGTCAACAACAATAAAAAAAAAACTTCAACAGCTTGGCCATAGCTCAAATCTCCACACCCAACAAAACGCTAGGGCCGAAGCAGGAGTCCAAGGAGAATGGAGAAAAATGATGAGTGGGGCCCGCGTGCCCACCACTTTCCTAATCCTGACAACACCTTTTGATGATTTGACATATTCGTGATTATCCAAGAAGCAAGTGCCGTTTCCCGAACGGAAACTCTCGAACGCCAGGACGAACGACTGCAGAATACTTCAATTCCGGCCTTGGTCAGATTTCCCCGGCAGTCTCAGCCAAGCACAACTACATGGTATGGAAGGATGAAGGCAGACCGGCAGCTAACTCTCAAAAAATATTACTGGGATTTCCAGCGGTGACACCGTTTACCGAACGGGAATATCTGGACTACCGGCCGCTGTGACAGATCTTGTTTGCACCACTTTGTGGGATAAAGATGTCTCGCCCCTAGTAGAAAGGAGTTGAGCAGCTGCAATGGTTAGTTGGCTACAGAGGTATGGGGAAGGGGACCCACTTATTCCACCATGACACCTCCCATACGCAAAAGGCTGCAAAGAAGCTACTGATTTGACAGCCCACTTGTGATTATGTTTATTATTATATCAATATTATCAAGATTATTAGTATGAAAGGAAAGGAGGATTCACCCCAAGGGAGGGAGGCCGAATGGGAGTTTCCCTTGGTCACAATTGTGAACAAATCCATGCGTGAGAAGCTGGCTGGGAGCACAAGTGGCTGTCTTTTCACGATAGCTGCAATCTGACATGAATTAATTACCGAAGTGACCGGTGGGGCCCCATGTTGACTAAACTGACTCCTGCCTGACTACACAGCCGTCTG